GCAACAGCAGCAACAGCAGCAACAGCAGCAAGAGTAGCAACAGCACCAACAACATGGGGAGCAAAAGCGGCAATAACGGCGGCAGCAACATCACAACAGCAACAGCAAAAAGGATGGCAACAACAGCAGCAACAGCAAGAGTAGCAACAGCAGCAACAGCAGCAATAACAGCAACAGCAAAGCCAATCGACAGTCGCAGTCAGTATGTCTGTCATTGTCCTTGTCTCTCTGTCCTGCAGTGGCAATATTATAACTATGACAGCCCTGGTATCCACATATTTACCTAACATGGATAATTATTTTGATGAAAAATAGCAGGAAGTTCAATAACTAGCCTACTATTTATTAGTATCGTTATGAATTGCAGAACCAGCGAATGAGCGTAGAAGTTGAAAGGGTTTTAAAACAAACCAGAGGTTGTTGTTGTTGTTTATTTTAATTCAAGTGTAGTCATGTTTTTACGTTATAAATGAACACTGTTGTTCCCATCATCTAAAGAAAAGAAATCCAATTAAAGAAAAAGTACGCAAAGAAAATACATGTTTTTCTGTGATATAGACGATTTATCGTTCTTTTTCTGGGAATAGTGTATTTCTTGTTCCCTTATACATGTTTTATTACAGCTGCAAATGTTAATTCTCACGGCATTTGACATGGGATGAGAGGCGGGTAGGGTTCCCTCGAAGATTTTATTTACGTTTTCGTGTGTCCAAAGCAATACGCTTTTAGTTTAATCCTAAATTAGGCCACCTTCACTAAATTCTGTCGTTCTCCCTTCTTTTAATCCATCTTACTGGCAATTTAACTTCCCAAATAACGTGAATGCATTACCTCCATCCAGATACCACGAAGACTGGACACCTGAAAAGGCCAACCCGATCAAGTGACCAGTTTTTCGACAGGAGCGACACGGAACCTCTCCAGCCCCCAAACAGTGACCAGTACCTCTCTTCATTGAAAAACAAAGGCCAGTTCAGCAACGAGCAATATCCTGGAGACTATTTTGACGGGTCCGGGTTCAACGCCGAGGAGGAAGAAAGGCCTCTACATCAAGGGGATGGGGACAGTGTGTCACTTTTGGGAGACAGCCCTCCGAGCCCGGCCATGTCGAAAAGATTTACAGAGTTCCTAGGTAAAAGGGTGCCTTTGGCTAACAGTGGGATGCCTGGCCCTGTGGAAGAGCCACACAAGGAGACCGTAGAGGATAGTCATAGGTCAGAGGGGTTATCACCATCAGAAAGATCGTATAGAGACATGGCAGAAAAGCTGGCTTTACTACTCCGCTCTGACGCCAAAAGACAGTGGGAGTTTGTCGGAAAGCGACCATACGACTTCGTAGGCAAAAGATACGACTTTGTAGGCAAGCGATACGACTTTGTTGGCAAAAGGTACGACTTTTTGGGAAAGAGAAATCCGTACGAGTTTATTGGGAAGCGGTACGACTTTGTGGGAAAACGTCGCCCCTACGACTTTCTAGGGAAAAAGAGTTACGACTTCCTCGGGAAAAGGTACGACTTTTTAGGAAAAAGGAATCCGTATGAATTTGTTGGTAAAAGAACTCCGGCTATGGTTCATGAAGGCGTGATCTCACACAACCTAGACGGCGAGGGTCAAAAACTGGCCATTCCATCCTCTGATGCCCACACCGCAGACAGAAGGTACGCCGAGTTTCTGGGCAAAAGGTCCGAAGAAAGTGGACAAGCAGCTCTGACAGACAGCGCCCGTCTGGCCGCTCTACTCAGCAACACTGGCCTGAGGAAACGGCTGTCCAGAATGCTTCTGAACGGTCAGCTGGCGGAACAGTACCCAGAGTTTATTGGGAAATAGGACACGGTATTTTCTAAGAATCCGGGCACGACGCAAAACTGTTATAGAAATCACTTCCACTGAGTTAATCCAAAAGTTACGAAGGTAAATGTAGTTTCTATCCTGCGAACCGCGTAGTATGCATGTTAACGACGACAACAACTGCAAATGCATAGGTTTATGTATTAATCATATGCATTACTCAAAAGATCAAACTGAAAATTCTAGTATCATATATTATTATCTACTAACAAATCATGCCTTACTTCTTCTTGAACTTTGTAGTTTTCATTTTTTTTTAATAGACCTGTTTAATTTGAGAAACAATCGTATATAGAATGCCAGACTTCTCAATAAAAAGTGGGTTATAATATCATTGCTTTTTGTTACAATTCTTTTGAACCAGACTTTACTTGACCCTTCCTTTCAACCTCTGTGGTATAATTTTTCTTGACTATACTGTCGAAATTGTATAAGATGGCCACTCATTGTCGAGGAGGAAAGTGGCCACCTTAGATCAGTGATCGAATTAAACAATGTCATTATAATATTATTTAAA